AAAAAAAAAAAAAAAAAAAAAAAAACACCGGATATTCTGAAACTGTTAAAGGCGATAAATGAACACCTATGATATTTTGAGTGACTCAGCTACTGCTTATAAGTTCGTTTCTGTTGCTCAAATAAATTTTTTTAATTAAAAAAGGGAAAAAACAAAATTGACGGGCTTTTTTTAATAGTTCTTTTCACCTTCTTTATTTCCAGTTTTACCAAACATAAAAAGTCGATTTATTATAGCTAACTGTAATAGGATGCCACCAAAACTATGTGTCAACACCTAATTTGCTGTAGTAAATAGACAAAAATGATCAAAAAACAGTTTGACAGGAAGATCTAGGGCAAAATACAATAATGTTTAGGGACTGTAGACCAAAAACTTTAAAACTACCTTTAGTTTGTTTTCTGGTTATCGGAATGCCATTTTAGATATTTAGTTGTGCTGGTTTCATTTCTTCTTTTTTAGCCAATTATTGATTTGCTTAACAACTGCTTATTGTCTCAGGAGGCATGTTTTTGGGGTCGGGGTGAATCACACCGTTGAAGTGAAGCCTGAAGATATGCGGACATCTGCGGAGTGTGACAGCTGCTTGTGAACATGTGGCTTATAAAATTCTGTACACTAGAGAAGTGGTCGCCATAACACTTTCTGAGTATAAAGAAAAAGGAAGCAATTTTCAACTTCATTGGTGAATTGGTTTTTTTTTGCTCAGCTTTCTTATCTGTACTGAACTGGTAAGTAATCTATAGCTTGAGTATTTTGAGAGTGGGGAAAACTTGGGATATGGTGGTTTTTTTTTGTTTTTGTAATATGATCAGTGTTGAAAATATGGAATTAGTAGTTATACAGTTTCATAAATTTTGTTCAAGATGAATCTTACACAGCAATTCTGTACACAGAATTTAGCAGTTATACAGCTTATGAGGAAATAACATTACTAAGAACTGAAACGTTAGAAATGGGATATTGATCAATGAAATCAAAGAAATAGGTAAAATGCAAATGCGAAAATCTTGAAAATTTAGTTAGTTTAAAATATGAAAATTGGAGTACTTTGGCGAGAAAATAAAGCAAGATCTTTATGAGACCAAAAATAAATTTGAGGCATGGAGTAAAATGCTTTTGCTTGTAGCACAAGCTTTTCGGAAGAAAAGCTGAAAAGAAAATACTAAAAAGTTGATTGTTTTCCATGGCGAGATCCACTGGTGTTGGTGTTTCTGCTCGTCACAGGGTTAGCGTTTTACTTTGTCGATGCACAAGATCTTTGGTGTGTGCCAGTGCTTTCTAAAGACAACAGCGCTTATCAGTACCAAAAAACAAGCTGTTAGCGATTTAAGATTTTTGAAGAATTTACGAAACAGTTCAGTTCTTTTCAAAGGTTTGAAAACCACTCTGTTGTTTTTGAGCCGTGAAGAACTGTTTGTACCAGAATCACTGTCAGCTTAGTGAAATTTATCCACTCCGATGTCCTGAATCAGATGAACTGCAGCTTTTGAAAGTTAAATGTAATGAGATTTACAGTTTCTTCTCAATTTTATAGCACTTTTGCATAAAATTTGTTCCTTGTCCTATTTCGTCCTAACAACTCGGTGCTTGTTTATTTCTGCTGTACTCGCTTCAATCTAGTAGCTCCACGGCGAAAAATTGGTTCATTTCTGCGTAGTTTATCGGCAGTAATTTATATGCATGTGAAACAAAAATAAGGTGTATTGCTGCAAGTTTTTCAAATTTTCTCAATTTTAATGCACTTGAAAGATGCTTACATTTCCTTGTTTCATTTTTTTTTTTAGCATTACTGTTGACTCATTGTAGTTTTAAGTTTCAAACCGATCATTTCAACTTTTATCTGTGTACACTTCAGCTTTGCTCTAAGCTTTACCCATAACTGCAAAACATTTGAGCCACCACATTTATTGTTTCTTTCGTTTTAGAATTATTAAAATTTCTGAACTAAAACTTTAAATTTTAAATTAATGTACACTGGCAGCTAAACATTCGAAAAAGTATAACAGCATTTAAATACACTTTAAATTTTCAAGTATCTTACTCTGTTTTCTTTTATTTTTTTTTTCAGCTTATTTGACTTGACTTGATTTTTGTTGGGTAGAGCTTAGCATCTTCTATATTTTAGCTTTGAATAGATCAATGGATTATTTATTTATAGTAAATATTAGCAGAGAAAGATATGTTAGTGTTAAAGTTTAAAACGATTTGAACTTTAAAACAAAAATTTTGTCGCATTTTGCAGAATGAATTGTTGGTACTGTTTTTTTTCGTCATGAAACAGTTGATGAGTAGAAGAAATTGGCCAAATAATAACTGGTTCAAAAAACTGGCTAAAACACTTTTTCAAGTGTTTAAATAAGTTTTGAGAATAAAGTGCAAGATTTAGTACTAATGTTCAGTGTCGGCCACTGCAAACTGGTGTCCAAAAGTCGATCTTACGTTCCGATATTAAGTGCTCACAAAGGAGCAGTGAAAATCTTTTTATTTTTAAATTTTATTTTAAAGTAAGAAAGTAGAAGAGAGAGGAGAAGGCAAGTAAATATACTGTTAGGCACATTATAATATTACTTCATAGAAGAAACAGGAATTTTTTCACAAATATACACATCAAAGATTGTAAATTTGTAAACCATGAAAAGAATAACTTTTATGCTTTCATTCTCTTGGGTCGTTATAATTTTTTGTTCGTTTTTTTTTTCTTTTTTAAAATAATATATAGCTGACTGGAATGTAGCACAGTTTTATAGTATTGCTAATTTTTCACTGGTCGTGGCATCGAATTTCTAGAGGCCATCAATTGAAATATGGAACAGTAATCTTTCAATTCACTGAAAATAGAAGCAGATCCTTCTATACTGTTAGTTGAGTAAATAGTTGCCAAAAAGAATACATTAATTAATTGTTAAGTCACTCCCGCAACTGTTCATTAATTAATTTCTTTTAGTTTTAGTAGTAAAATTAGTTCAATATTTCAGACATTAAAAACGATATGTCAAAAAAACTTTTTGAATTAATGAATCAATCCAAAAAAAAAAGCATCACTTACACAATACCGGCTTCCACGGAACAAGTACAAAGTTCACCAACTTCTTTCTTCCAATTAATCGTCTTTGCACAACGTCTTAGTGTTTTTTTGGTTTTTCTTTCCAACAGTAATGGTTGACAACTGTAACACAATGAAAAATCTTTGTTTTTTTTTTTCATTCATCTATCAAATACATGTTATATGCAATAGAATACAAGTGGTTTTCATTTGATCAATTATCTTTTTTTTGAACTTATACAATAGTAATAAAAAAGTTTGTGTCACCTTTTCCATCATAAAGTTTGGTCAAAAGAAACAAAGAATTTTTTTCTGTGTGCTTGTAAATATTTTTCTAAAAATATGTGTACTACAGAATTTGTAAGCTAATTGTATTGTTGTTCTTGTTGTCAGAACAACGAACTAAACCGGTGGTAGTAGTTGCAACAAATGACAGCAAAAAACTATAAACTAAACTTACTTGTAACGATCATAGCAGAAACCGTTATGATTCTTTTCAATAAAACAATTTTTCACACAAATTGCAAAACTTCCGGTAGCATCCAAAATTTTTTTCAAAAATGGAGCAATATTCTGTGACAATGTATCAGCCTTATGTGTAAGTGCTTGTTCGCCAAGACGAAGTACCTCAGATATGTTTGCTTTCTGAATTTTGGGACCATCATCACTTTCCACACACCTAATATAAACAATAAAAATTTCTTGTAGATATTGACCTTATTATGCTAAGGTGTTCTTCCTTTTTCTTTTTTTTTAAGTTATACAAATATTTACAAGTTTATTAGAAGTTATATGA